GTAGGTTTCTAGGTAATTTTTTCTTTCTTCATTGTTGTCTAAAACAAATGGTCCAACCTAATTACAAAATTAAAAAAAGGGCCGCCCATCTTCAAATGGCCCAATTACAAAAAAAGGATGTGTTGGGCACCTGGGCCTCAACGGCCCAAGTTCAAAAAAAATAAAAGAAAGCTTGAGGAAGAAGACAAACCAGAAGGCAGAATTTCAGAAAATCAGGCGTCGCTGCGATCTCCATCTTCTTCCCAGAACTGTTCCGACGGAGCCCAGCACGCGCGATCGCGTCCCTGGCCGGGTGCTAGGTCCGTCGCTGATCATGGAACAGTCTAGAACACATCTTTAACAATGGATAATCTCATTGGCTGCGTATACAATTTATTGTATTTCTTTGGATGTTTCATCAGGTTTTGTGAGAAGTCATAAAAGCGCAAATTGCACTTCAAGAATTTTGCTCCATTCCAATTGCATTACACATTCTTATGTACAATTTCATTAAACGGGATGGGTTTAGGCGATGGTTGAATTTAGAATTTTCGTGCTATAATATTATGTTAAATAAATAAAATTTAAAATTTATACTTTAAATATTATTTTCGAAAAACCTTAATATTGGTCAACCACGAGGGTGTGCAGATGACATGAGTTTCGTTTTTTTTTTTGGGTAACACTGAAGGTGCTTTCAAGCTTGTACTTTTCCTCAAGACATAAAACATGACAAACAAATATTATGCAGTGTTCCAAAAAACGGCATCTAAACATGTAGCTTTTTCTCCTTTTATTTATTATTTATTTTGATTTTATTTTTTCGTGCTTAGTCGCGTCTTGGTGTGTTTTTTATGCCTTTTCCTTTAATTATTAAATAATTTTTAAATTGATTTAAAAATTTAAAATAATAATAAAATAAAAAAAACGTTTTTTTTACACGTAGGCCTCGCCTAAGCATAAACTTGATCTCTACGCTTTGCCACGCTTTAAACTTTTAAGAACACTTTTATTACGTAACAGCTCTATGTTCAACAAATTAATATAATAATTTTATATTTTTTTATATGTATTTCTTACTTAAATGAAGAAGGGTACTCTGTTATATATTTCACACCAGCCGTCCACAATCTTAAGACCGACTAATTACATTATCATAACCCATTTCTCGACTCATTCATTCTTAATATATGAACACACGCGATGATGTAAAAAAGCTATCTTTCACTTTTCATATATATATTTATATGGAAACTTCGTTTTTTGTGTT